GTTGGTTTAGCGATTTCAAGTGCATTATATGTGTGCCAGAATCTATCAAAATTTGGAGAAGCCATTGAGACAAGTTTAATTGTTATCGGGGGAGTGCAGGCTAGCGGCATGTTTATATCGACCGGGCTAAAAATGAAAAAAGTGAAGGCGTTGCATCTCGAATTACAAGCAATTGTTGACAAATACAACGACGGCGATGTTGTACGCATTTTTTGAAAGCAGGAAAAAAGGGCCGAAAATTCACGCGAACCCTCACATACTTTATGTATTTCAATCAGACCATGATTTTGGATGGCCCAATTATGTCCATTTACGGCATGTTGAATGGAAATTTCGACACGTTAGCATGGAATTTTTCAATGAAACTGGTCGTTCCCTTTGGCACTGAATCAATTTAGGGATGGTATTTGTTCTGGTTCATTCAGACCAACATTGGCATTGCCTACTCACTCTGTATGACATCAATAACGTCGTACTTTGTCAGTTGCTGCTTCTACATTAATGGCATATGTGATCATTTCGATATGCTAATTCAATCGACCAAAATTGATCTCGAACTTATGCAAACGGAAAAAAATCCACGAAAACAACATAACGCAAACCAACAACTTACGGACAAATTGTCCTCCAAAAGTCCATCTTATTATTACAGCAATAAGATTGTAATTGTAATGAGATTGTAATAAGTATCTTATTCATTTTGGTGCAAAAGAAAAATCGCAAAAAAAGTTTCATGTAAAAAACATGTCCTTTATCTTTTTAAATAAAAAAAAGTTATTTCATAAAACTAGAAAAAAAAAAAATAAAAAAATCAAATAACAACCAGAAGAAATGAAACGAAACGAGAAAAAAAGAAAAGTGCCAACGACACATGGTGTTCCCAGACGGTCACCCATTCAAGTACTAACCATGCTCAATGCAGCTTAACTTCAGTGATCGGACGAGAACTGGTGCTTTTTACATGATATGGTCGTTGACAAAGAATATACACTTCTATGCAAACATATTCGTCGAATGTTATATCGATGCTTATGTTATTTTAGTCAACTATCAAGACAGATTGGAAACGATTTTTGATTTTGATTTTCGATTTTCCTTTTGACTTTGTTTTACAATTTGAAACAGTACAAATTTTTTGCCGATTTTTTGTTTAGAACTATTAGAAATATTTGAAATTTTTGGAAAGTGTATTTTGATTAATGTCGGCTTGCTCTTAGGTAGACAATAAAAGCATATATATATAGATTTAAGAAGGTTTAGACAATATCAATTACAATAATGTTGATGTTGAACCCACCTTTCTAAATACAATTTAGCTTAAATGAAAACACAAGTACCTCTGTAAGAAAATTTTTATTTTTGTAGAAATAAATGAATGAATAAATTGAATGTTGTAAAAATCAATGGAAATCCAACACGCAAATGTTTTATTTGACTTGTAATTTAAAAACGAATCAAAAAGGGACAACGTTTGATGAAATCCAGCTTATACAGCAAATTGATTGGAATCTTAACAATTAGAAATTTCTAAACCATTAATGGATCAATCGGCAACATGGTTAGTTGTTGATTTTTTTTTATAATATCCGAACTAATCATGTCTTTACCACTGATGGACACCACTGTTTAACGGCATAGCAGAGCATTGCGATTTAAATGAATATTCAAATGAAATTTTGTTTGAGTAAAAATCCATTCAAGATGTACAAATTTACCAGCTAAAAATCGAAAATTGTTTGATTTGCATATGTGTAAATTTACTAATTTTTGAAATATGTCCAATTACTTTTTACTAAATTCATCGGATATTTCGAAATGAAAATAGTGAATTGATCTGCCGGAAAAGAATTAATTCCGATTTTTCTGAAGCAAATTAATTTTTCTTCTGGAATATGTATATATTACCATATACCCAAACTCAAAACATGGACCATGTGATGCAAGTTTAAACTATTGTACAACACAAAATATGAATTAATTCCGGATGACGCTCTGACAGGCAAAATCATATTAAAAGATATTTTGAATTCAAGACAAACCCACCATTTGTACTTACTCAATCATTTTTTTTCCCACGATTTCGTCTTTTATCAAGATATATTGAACTGAGTTGTATTCAGTAAATACTGTAAAGATTTTCTACTTAATACTGTTCACTAAAGCCTATCACACAGGATGTATGAAACTCTTTATACAAATTACCCGTCATTTGCACCTTGCTTCGATTCAATTTGCCTTCAACCTGTTGAAAAAAAAATGTTTGAAAACTTCACTTCAAATAAAAAAACAGAAAGAAATAAAAACGCTCAATTGATATATATTTTTTTTTTATTTATATTTTCCTTTTAATTATTTTGTTTCTTCTTTTTTAGCATTCATTTTGTCATTTTGAAAACGTTTTTATTGTGTTTGTATTACTAAGTCTGGTGTTGCGGTAAACAGAATTGTACATTATTCTCTGTAAATTGATTTAAATACAGGCCAACGACTGGAGCTTTAGTGTGGTAAAAAAACGAAATGATTTGCGTGTGACATTTCATTTTTCTGGAATCGTTCGACGAATTCCATGTGCGTCCATTGAATGCATTGTTCGACCCTGATTACAATTTTATTCAGATTTTTTGTTGTTTGTTTGTTTGAACTGTAGCTGTTTTCATCTTGTTTTAGTATCGATTTATTTTCGGTATACATGAAATTTGCTTCCTTATAATATAGGTGTTTTTTTGTTTTGTTGTTGTTGTTGTTTTGCATCATCTTCTTTTTAAATCTATAACTATCATCAAATAAAAATATATATATATATATGAATACATACTTGTTTGTTATTTTGCGAATTGTATAATTTCTTATTTCATTTTTTTTCTCTTCTTTTTCATTTAAATATTTGTACAGAGCGTATTGTGTGCACGATGGGCCCACGTACGGGTCTTCTTCTCTCGGGTGTGTGTGTGTGTATGTGTGTTTAGTAAAAAGTGGAAAGAATCACAACAAAACATTTCAAACGCATTTTTGGTTCATAGTGTCTTGTTTTCTCTCGATGCAACAAAATCCGGGCGATTATTTTGAGAGCATGCACGTATGTGACATCCAGAAATAAAAAAATAACCAGTACGTAGGTCCATTACACAGACTGAAACAAATCTCTGTATCTGCTTACTGATGGTTGGTTGGTTTTGTTTTTCGTTTTTAGTTTTTCTTCTCATTTTGACATAAAAAAAAGAAAGAATCGTTAAAAAAAAATGGAAAATAAAGCGAGAGAAAAACCAAAAAGAAGTGATTGAGAGAGTAAGAATAAGAAAGAGAGAGAGAAAAAAAGAAGAAATCATTCAAATTTTTACTCAGCTTGCGTTTTTAATTTGTAATTGTGGATTTCATTGTGTCTATAGTTTTTCATTTTTAAATATATTCAAAAAAAATAATAATAATAATAATAATATAATAATAATTATCATTAATTAATACAATACAACGGAATCGAAAGTAGAAAGGAAAGAAAAGAAAAAAAATATCTAGTAAAATGAATGAAAAGAATTGTATACACCATACTAATCGAATTAAGTGAAAATTCCTACAAAAGAAAAGAAACATCATCTGCACATCTGTTTAATTTAATTTTATAGAAAATGAAATTTTAAACCATTCATTGTTTTCTGCGCAATTCTTTTGTTGTCGCCCAAAAAAAATTAAATTAAATTAAAAATTTGAATTCTTTCAGGCATCATGGATTATCGTGTTTCATCTTCTTATCTCCTTGCATTTTACGGTTGTTGATGTTCTCTTTTTTCTACTATTATTTTGTTCGTGTTTAGTGCTTATGCCGCCAACTTTACTGATTTAAATTTTCAGATATTATATATAAATATCATTGGTTTGCCCAGGAAAATGTTTAATGATTTTTTTTTCTTTCTTCCACTTCTTCTTCTTCTGCATACTTCAGCCTCCTTGTTAGTTACACATCAGTCGAAACATTTCCGTTTCAGTACTTCCTTAATGTTTATTTTATGATTCTAAATATTACAATTTTTTTTTCTCTCAATAATTTTCTTCTTGTTCTTTTTTTGTTTCGGCGCGCCGATCTTGCCCTAATCATCGCTTTCGTATCAAATCAATATGGATAAATCTAAAGTTGTAAGCCAATTGTTTCTTCATCTCATGCGTGTGTGTATGTGTAAGTGTGTATACAACTATCATATTTTGGGTTTGTTTCTTTTGTAAAAATTGGTTTATTTTCCCATAATACAGCGCATTCATTGACTTGGAAAATCGTTTTTGTTTTTTTCTTTCTTTCTTTCTTTCATCCTTCTTCACCTCACAAAAATATACTTTTTTTATGCTTCTTCTTCTTCTTTTTCATTTTTGAATATAAAATTTACAATCCACTTACTAAAAAAATTGTCTGCATTCCACTTATTACATCATATTATTTTTCTTTCTCTCTCTTCATTCCGTGTTTGATTTTGCGTGTGTGTGTGTGTGTGTTTGTGAATGAGAATGGCTTTGTTGTTGCCCTATTTGCAAAATTATGTTGGCTTTTTATCGCGGTTGTTTTTTTCTGTCCTTTCATCTTGCGTTTGTTTCATTTAGTTGATTAAAAGTGGATAGTTTTACTAATGCATTTTGGTGTATTGAGGTGCCCGGGTGTCGGATTAAAAATGTAAAATGTGTCTAGTGTGTGTGTGTCTGGCTTTTGTGTGTGTTTTAATTCATCATTTTATATGCTAGTATCCACAGAATAAGAATGAATGGAAGGAGCCATCGTTTTTTTTTTTTTTGAATTGTTACTTTTTTTCGCTAAATTTGTTGCTCAAACATTTTATGAGAAAAGAGATACGAATGCACGATTTGTGTTGACATTGGAGATGGAAATCGTCTGTCTGTTTGATATTCGATTTCATCTCGCAATCATCGTTCGCGATGGAAGCAATAAACCACCTTGCAAATTTATCAGCTGATTCCTGACCTACTAAATACGCTTTTTTGCTTAATAAAATGTCTCTATATGTTTTTGCATTCACTAAATTTAATTTCCTTCTTCTTCTCTCAGCATTGTTCTTCTTATTTGTGATCAAACATTTATGATTTGTTTAGATGGGTCGACAGATTTTTTTTTTCACAAGTGATGATTATGAATGTTTCAATTAAATCAATGTACGCGCATGTTGTTGTCTGTATGTTTTTTTTCTTCTTCTTTTCTTGTAAGTGTAGTTCGCATTTGTTTTTTTTACGTTTTTTTTTCTGCATATATATCTAGTGTGTGTTTGTTTTTTTTTGTTTCATTTGTTGCTTTTTTTTTCTTGCAAAAAATTAAGATTAAAAAGATGCGACGGACGTTACGCGACATCAAACAGAAATTTTTTTTTTATATATTTATGTGTGTGTGTGTGTGTGTATTAGACGTTAATGCAAAAATAGAACTAAATATAAAATAAATTTCATTCTTCTGTAATTTTACATTTCTTTGTTCCTGGTTCAGTAGCTTCGGTAGCGGTTATTTGTGATTCAGAACTTTCACAGTCTAACGATCTGGAAGGGGAGAGAAAGAAAATGAGAAAAATTTGGACAAATAAAAAATGAGTAACAAATCAGAACAAAGAAAATTGGTGTGAAATTTAAAGCGTACTCAAATGGTCAGAAAATGCATTTTTTTACAATTTTGGGTGCATTTCCATGAAAATGACATATTTTTTTTTGATGAAAAAAAAATTCGAAATGCTTTTATGCATATTTTTTCGACTTCACCTGAGTTTTTAAATGCATTTCTGTCATTTAGGTGCCTTTTGCCATTTCAAGGGCCAAAAGGTAGAAAAATTTGGCAATAATTCCAGAACAAAAAATATTATTTCTCAAAAAATCTAACCGTTTATTGCTGCTTGCTTGTGAATCACTATCATCGTTGGGAACGATTGGAGTAACTGGTTTCTCCAAGCTGCTATCATCAGATCGTGAACTACTATCGTCAGTCGCACTGGCCACTCCTGCAAAAAAAAAATGTCACCGGCCAAAGTAGTACAATTTTAGTGAAACGTGTTTTTTTTTTCAATTCAGAATGTCATTTTTGATTTGGTCGAAACTTACCGTTTTTATTGTTGCCGTTAGCTGCAACAACTTGAACTAATTCTTCGTTTGAGTGTTCAAAGTGTGCGAAACGGCTGTTCTCATCGGATTGTTGGGTTGTTGTTGACGTAACTGTGTTGCTACCATTCAATTGAGTGACGCTATCTTGGCTGCTGCCGCCTAGCGTTGTCAATACAGTGCTGCTTTCATCTGTGCTGGCTGTGTGTGTGTGTGTGTGTGTCGTTGCAAACAGAATGACAAACGAAAAAAAAAATTATAAATAAAAATCGAATGGCGTCGATAAAATTGTATGCAAAAATATTCATGTCATAAAGATGAATCTTCAGTCTAAGATTTTTTCTCTTCATTCCGTTCGTTTTTTACCTGAGATGCAATTCTGTTCCGATTTCAAATCACCATCGGTTGTTGTATCGTCTTCATCTTTCGACGAGCTGACCATGTCGGTGCTGTTTTCATCGGCTGTGATTTCTGCATCGTCGCTTGTGGTCAATTTGATCGTTTCTTCATCATCGTTGTTACCGGTTGCGGTTGTTTCCAATTCGGTTGATCCACTGTTAATTGTGTTTGATGTTGGAATTCGTTCGAGTAGCTCCGGCTTCAATTGCACGGCAACAAAATGTGTCCAAAGGGCCAACTCAACACTGTAACATCGAGAGAAATGGAACATTCAGTTTGTTTGTTTTTTTTAAGGATCTCGTGTGGGAAAATTGGATTCATTTTGGAATCGATGGCTTACGCATGTGCTGTCCATTGCGAGTTGTTGTTATCCTTCTCTGAATTCAATCGGGCTACGGCAGCTTGAATGTGTTGCACAAACTTTAAGTATTCCTTTGTTGTATAATCTATGCTATCGATTTCTGGTATAGCCATCAAGCCTGTGAAATTTAAAACGATCGCCGATTAGACTATTTCCTTTTTTATCAAAAAAAAAAAAAAGGGTAATTCATGAGCGTAACTTACATTCATCAGCCATGAATGGTGCACTATCGGGCGCAGCAGCCGCCAGCAAAGCAGACGCCATTGTAATACCAACACCTTTTAAATTTGATAGTGCGGTTAATGCTTGTTCTAGGTTTGGTAATTTACGAAATGCTTTTTTGGTTTCTTGCATTACGGCGCGCGGCGTGTTCACTTTGATCAAGTACGAAAGTTGTGGATAGAATTTGCCACGCTGCACATTGGGTCCCGCATCGGAAAAAATTGAAGTCGATTTGAGAATGAAGAGAGAAAGAAAAAGAGAGATATATGAGCAAATGTGGACAATATTGGTTGAACATTTCCATGTGAATGATGCATTTTTGAGGCACAAACGCGAGAGAGAGAGAGAGAGAGAGAGAGAAAATCGCGGCACACTCACCGATTGTTTCCATTTCATTGCCTGTACTAATTCCTCATGCACCAGATGCGCATTTTTGCCACGTTGCTTTATCCTTTTTGGTAATTCATTTTGATACCTGCCAAAGAAAAACAATTTCGTTAGATAAAATTCTCGGTCTGTTCAAAATGAATTTGAATTAACATTAATTATTCGACGAATATAATTCGTTAAACATTCATTTATTTATGAATTTCTTTCAGAAGAACTAGTTAGTTACAGAAACTGAACAAAATAAAATTAATATTTGAAAAAGTCTATGAAACACATTCATTCGTTCCACAAAACCGAGTACAATTCAGAAGAATAATTTTATTCATCATTTTGTGATACATACCAATCATCTAGTCGTATAAGTTCTTCAGGTTTTTTGCAGCGCGTGAATGCTTTAAGTTGCAGCACTTCCGGATAGAGTTTTAATACAAAGTCGAATTGTTTGGAGTTGCCATGTGCAAAAAATGAACCGGTATCCTTTTTAACGGAAGAAGTCATCCTTATATTCTCTGTCGATTTCGCTATCTCACTTCTTAAATTCCCAAGATCCAAATAACCCGTTGCTTAAATGCCCGTTTCGAGACCAATTTATATGTTAAAATTAGATGCTATTGAGATTTTGGTTGGTTGGTTGGTTTCCTTTCGAATTGGACCGATGAAAATGGCAAATGTGCTCCTGTTCGCGTTGAATGTCCAAAATAGTGAATTTCTTCAGTAGACGCTCTGTTTCCAAAATGCTCATGCAAAATCACACAGTAACTTCGATCGAATGAACGCACAAAGAAAAAGTCACGTTACTTTGATTCAGTTGTTGACTTCAGAGCACCAAAATTTTCCTTTGTTCAACCCGTGTCGTGGTTTGCCGAATCCGGTGATCTCAATGGATTTGCAGAAATTCTGTAAGAGAAAGAAGAAAAAAAAATAATTTAATTTAGGAAAATTAAGCTTGAACGAGCGTTTATTTGATAAAGAAAATGTAAAATGTGTGAGATCGACAATGTCAAATCGGCAGCAAAACCGATAAGGTCAAAGGGAAAAAAGCCGAATTGATTTCTGTGAAATTGAGCTAATCTTTCGGTGAATTTAAACATAATCCCTTGCACACCAACCACCGCGCTAACGTTTCTATATCATTTTAAAAATGTCAAGTGACTGACGGTCACTGCAACAATGATCAACCGAAGACACCGAAATTTCTTAACAAATTTTATTGTTGTTGTTGTTGTTGTTGTTGTTGTTGTTGTTGTGGTGTCGTCGTTTGGAATGAACTACTGTATATATTGGAATTATGATCACATATTATATCTAACACACAAAATCCTGACGGACTGAAGAAGTTGCATCGGAAAAACGAGGACATTCAGATAAAAATATGCGAATTAACACGACCGAAAGAGACAGCAGAAGAAGAAAAAAAAAACAACCAAATAAATATTCAAATTGTTGGAAATGCGAAAGAGGCGAACTATGCTAGCAACAAGAGTACGCCATCAGCAAATTACAGTGTAACAATCAAATGAACGTATATGTATATATACATATAATAAAAATCACACTCACAAAGCGTAAATATACGTATATATATATTGTGTCGATTCCGAGTGAAGTACACGAAAAATTTCTACTCAAATCCAAAACGGCAAAGTACGAAAAACAGAATGAACGAATGAAAAAAAAAAACAATTTATGCTCAAATCAAATGAAGAAAAATACACACGGCAATAACAAATGACAACGGAAAATATGCAGTCAACGATGAAAACGAACGAAAAGAAAATAAATACAGGCGAAGGATAGAAAAAAAATATAATACTCGTCGTCGTCGTCGAGAAACAAATTCTAAAAGGAGAAAACAACTGGCTATATATTTCGAACGTATTTGATCCGAAGTGAACGTATGAAAGTCATGAAGTCTGTGCTACATTACGACGGCAAATATCTATTGCTCGTTCGACGAATAGCTCGAAAACGAGCGAAACGAACAAACCGAACGAACGCGTTCATTTCGGTTTGTTCGCTTGTGTGGATCAGTCGTTCGGTCGGTCGGTTGGTCGGACGGACGGGCTTGTATATGGTGACTATGTGTGCATGTGTGTGTGTGTGTGTGTGAGTGCGATTTGTTGTACCGTTCAGAAAACAGCCAAATGATATTCGAGCAGTGGCGATGACGATAGCAGTTGTTCAATCGCAAATAAGCAGCCAAGCAAACGAACGGCATGTAAAGGAGAGAAGAAACAACAACAACAACAACAACATCGAGCGATGAACAACAGCAGCGGCAGCAGCAGCAGCAAAAAATGAAATAAAATACACTATGTGCTGTCTATGTATTGGAGTCTATTTATTCATCCCGTTCCGCTGAAAACTGACTGCTGCCGAGAGCTCTCAGAGATACAATAAATCGACCGCACCACCACATCGATGCGTCATTACACACATACACACACATATAAATACATTCACAGAGCAAACGCTATTTGTGCTTGCTGCTGCTGCCGCCGCTGTCGCTGCTGCTGCCGCCGCTGTCGCTGTTGCCTCGTATAATGTACGACATACTTTTTTATGGCATTTTTTTCATAGCCAACAACTCTACCAAAGCAATCAAAGAATTCACACACAAGTCTCTCTCTCTCTCTCTCTCACTCAGTATTCTAAATGCTTTTTACATTCATATTTTTGCTGCTGCTCTTGTTGTTATTTCGTTCTTTTTTTTTGGTTGGTTTATTTCTTTTTGATTCTTCGCCTGCTTTTTCGATATAATTTCGTGTTGGTTACATTCGAAAACCGACCGACCGATCGGAACCAAGATGTGAGATAAATGGGTTTTTCAACTCGACCATTTTTTTTTTTTTTTTTGGTTACGGATTTTTATTCAGCTTGATTTTTTGGCAACCAAATCGGTTGGAAGCATTGAGAATGATTCGCATGGCCAACTGAAATGCAGCACATTCCATGGACCGTGTATGTATGTCTGTGTGCCTTCGGTAAAATCATTGAAATGACATGAAATTGGATAAATTAGGAGCAACGTTATGAATTAGGGAAAATAGACTGAATTGATAGCGACGTGAGTTGAGGGACGCGCGCGCAACCGAATCAACGGAAAAACCTTAAGGGAAGTGTCACCGCGAAAGCGCATCATCATCATCATGGTTGTTGTTTTTTTTCTCGTTTGTTTCTTTCGTTCAATTTGCACGGATCAGTGGCAGCACAGCGTGTGCAAGATGAACGAAACATGTTATGGTTTTGTGGCGTTGCTTTCACTCTTTCATATATGGCGTGTATTTGATTGCTTATTCATTGTGAGCTAAGCAGCAGCCGCATCCGCAGTAGTAGCAACAACAAAAACAGAACAAAGTAACTGATGATCGCCACCGATCGCATTTTACCGTCTCTCTGACAATTTTATCAGCACACACACACACACACACATAGTGTGGTTGGGTTTTTTTTCTCGCGTTGTCGTCGTTGTTGCTACTCATTCTGTTTGTACTTTTCGCAATTCGATGCGGTGAGTGTGTGATGCGAAATTTAAACGAAATGAATATAAAAAAAACAAGGAGGAAGATGAAAATGATGCAGAAAAAAGCGAGCCTTGCTTACTCACGCTCGCCTTGTTCGCCACTTTTCTTCAACAATTGTCTGTTTGTTGTGTGTGCGTGTGCGTGTGTGTTTTTTTTTCTTCTTCTGTTTCTGCGGCGCTTTTTTTCTTTCTCTTGCGTAGCGCGCTTTTTGTCCTGAGACAATGTTTCAATGCTACTGTCGGTATCGTTTGCGTATTGCATCTCAGCAAAGATAAAAGGGAGCTTTAAATTGTGTGTAAAGCTAAACGAAACGAGTGCCCCGAATATGTGTATACTCATTTATCGCAAATGGTCGGTCGGACACGGTCGTTTGTATTGTGCCGTGATGGTAATCGTTGACAGACACACCAACTCTATCTTTCAAATATATTTATTTCGAAAGGGGAACGTGATTCAATTGTTTGGCGATTGTTTTTTTTTTTTTTTATTGCTTTCAGGCACAACAACCGACTGAAGAAGACATCCGAATCATCTTCATCATTGGCAAAGAAATGCTTTTCATCGTGAACGGAAGGGGAGAGATGAAGTGTGAGAAAGAGAAAGAGCGAGAGCAAGGAAATAATTCGATTTGCTTTCACTTCAGTTGCATCATTAATAAGAAAATCCATTGGATATCTTTTTTTTCGGTCTGTTTTTCATTTCATTGTTGTATTGAGCTGCTGCTGTTGTTTTGTTTCTTCATTTTAAATTTTGGACTGAAAAACATGGGGGAAAAATTAGCATCGAGCTAAGTGAGTAAGCAGCAGCAGCGGCAGCAGCAGCAGTCAGCCAACCAGCCAGCATGCTGCTTCGAAAATCTCACAACGAAAATGAACCAACGAAGAAGTGGAACGAAAAATACAACGGCAAACAACCAAGAGAAGAAAAAAAAAACGAAACGCACAACGTTTAAAACAACCGAAATGATTATATGAAACGCGAAAGCAGCTTTAAATATTTTCGAAGCAACAAAAACAAATTTAGCTTCAATAACAATGGAAAAATTCAAGCGTTGAACGTGTATATTGAAATGTCTGACGGTTTTATAATGTGAAACACGGTATAACGAAGTATGGCGAAAAAATCAGCAGCAGCAGCAGCGGCAGCAGTGGCGAACGACAACGACTACGGTGGCGGCAACAACGAGGCAACAGCAACAAAAATATGTGCGCACCGAACGATGTACAGAAACACAGGCGCAAACAAACACATTCATTGTTGGCAGACAGGGTTATATTCAAGCGAATGAAAGATTGCTCGTTGCTATATTGTCGGTATATAGAGGTTGTTGGTTTTTTTTTTCTCTTTCGCTCGTGTATAGGGACGCATTACGAATGAATCGAAGCGATATGAATAGGCACAGCGCACAGCGAAAATCAGCAGCGGCAGAGGCAACAGCAACAAAACTACCACCAGCACTGGCGCATTGGTTGAAAACCCAACGAGCAACTTGTGTCGACTGGCAACGGTGATGTGTTTGCTTCGTAATATTCCCTCATGCATTGCGTTATAAATGCTGAGAGGGTCGGGGCCCTCGATTCAAAATAATCGTTCATTCTTCATTTACGTTACATTATATTCGTGCCCGATTAAATGCGATAACGGACGAATGGACAAACGAACGAACTGAAGAAGAAAAAAAACTGTACACCCGAACTATTGCCATCTGTGCACGATGAATACAATCAGACACACAGAGAACCACAATTTGTTCGCAATGGCGAATTCATTTATATACTTTCCATAGAGTGCCATCAGAAACATCAATCGTGAACTTAAATCAAGATAATCACTTTTTTGCCAGCCGTTGTTGTGTGTCTTTTTGTGATTGGCGCCATCTATCCAATTACAATGCCACAAAATATCGCTCCAAATTGATTAATTCAAATGCCCTGTGTGTGTGTGTGTGCGTTTTTCTCGTTTCTTTTTCTCTCTGCCTCTCTGAATCGTTCGTTAGCTATTTTTCAAATAAAAACGTTTTTATTTTTCACCAGTAAACTAAGTACGGTCAATGGAATTTTGAATGCAGTTTTTTTTATTAAGTCGACTTGGAATTGGAAATGGTTTTCAATTAGAGAGAGAGAAAGAATCGTGTGAGCGGGATTAATTTAAAGCGTGTATTAATCATTACAGTCACGAGTCGAGAAAATCTGTAATCGCAACACACACACAACGCGTACGAATCGAATCGCATAAAGAGAGAGAGAGAGAGAGAGAGAGAGAGAGAGAGAGAGAGAGAGAGAGCGAACGTCAGAGAGAGATATGGCAGGAATACATTCATTTTTGTTGGCTTGGCATTAAACAAAACGAACAACAACAAAAATGGGAACGAAA